TGCTGAACATCAGTCACTTCTGATTGAAGATGAACTATGTTTGTCTTTCATAACTATATGCTTGAATGTAACCACAATATCGAAATCAGTTTGATACCCTATTGCACTTGTGTCTTGCATTCTTATGCCATTTCCTGACTAACAAGTCTGTTTACAACTGAAGGATAAGTGTGTTATGAAGTACTGTTATTTCAGTTCAGATGCAGTTAGTATTGTCTTGTCTGTTGGTGTAAACACTGAACCTCAAGTTATCAAAGAAAACAGGTTTCTAACTCAGAAATTTAATTCACATATCTGGCACTAGTAACAAATATCCTGCTGGTGAATTTCATTCGTTATATCTTTAGCCATGTTTATTAAAAGGCATTTACATGGAGAAAGAAAAGAAAAATTAATGCCACCACCGTTTTTTTTTTTGGGGGGGGTGGGAGGGTGGGGTCTATAAGCAGTTGGGAGGTTTGGTTTTTATTTTAAAGTACATCTTGTTGAGGAGTGTGCTTAAGAAAGTTCAAAAAGGATAATGGGCAAGTGTCATTTGGTCTAAAACTATAATTGGTAAAGAATAAGACAGAAGAAGGTTTCTTGTAAATTACTTGGTTTCTGTTTGGTTCAGTTAGAAGGGGGGTGGGAGGGTGGGGTCTATAAGCAGTTGGGAGGTTTGGTTTTTATTTTAAAGTACATCTTGTTGAGGAGTGTGCTTAAGAAAGTTCAAAAAGGATAATGGGCAAGTGTCATTTGGTCTAAAACTATAATTGGTAAAGAATAAGACAGAAGAAGGTTTCTTGTAAATTACTTGGTTTCTGTTTGGTTCAGTTAGAATATCTGACTATGAAGAACTACTGTGACATTTCACATACTTTCAGTATTTAAAGAAACTTGTCACTTGCTCTTTGAATACTTCTTTATTAAAATCAGCTTCTTTAACTTAATATTCTTTACAAATAGCATTGATAATAAGGCAATAAAAATTAAAGCCCTGAAGATTCAGAGTCCCCTGTGCCAAAAATTATGGCACAAATTTGATTATGTGATTGCAGAAATGCTGGACTGTAATGAGTAAAAATAATTAACAGTGCATATAATTAAATTAATTTGCTCTGATTTACATCTCCATTGATGTGGGTCCAACACATTATTGTAAGGAAATTTAGAAAGTTATTGATAACAACAGGACACTTGAACTGCTTCATGTTAAGCATGTGCTAAGGTGTTTTTGGTCAGTGGGTGAATAAGGTCTCCATCCTGTCTTGAAGTTCAGCACACTGACTTTATGTGGCTTTAATGCACAAGGGTAGATTTCTGTAAGTAGTTGTACTGATTTGAACTGAACTACTTGCATGTCTAAGGCAAGTATAATTTTTCCACAGTTATTAGTTATTGTGGGGAATGCACTGAAAGAGTCAAGAGATTTTAATAGGGATGAAAAGAAGAAGATAAGGTTTATTAAAAAAACAAGATTTTCTTTTTATAGGTACTTTGAGCAAACTGTCCACTAGAAATAATGAACCACAATGACTAACAGCACATTAAATACTTTTGCTTATAATTTTCAGTTAGTTAATGAAGACACCTTTTTTAATAAGAAACTAGACTGAGCTCAAAAACTATTCTAAATGTAATTTTATCTGTTGGATATTGGTTTGCTTTATGTGGAAAAAAACCCCAATCTCTTCTGTGTTGAAAGATCACATCAGATAACAAGAAATAGATCTATTATTTATGCTGTTAACACTGAAATAGTTTTCTTGAGGTGCAATATTTATTTTTCTGCTTTAACAAGACACGTGTATTGTTTTTCCTGCACAGCACAGATGTTTCTAGTAAAAGGAATTTTAAAAGGGCACTATTTTTGTGTATCATATTTAAATTTGTAATATTGTAAGATTTTGCACAAGTGTGCTGGTATTGTACTGTATAGTATCACATACTTGAGTTTTGAAATAAAAGTATGGTTTCAAAATCCTCAGTGTTGCTACTTTAAAGATTTGGTTTTTGCATTCACTCTATCTGAGTATTAATGGCTATGTTCTTATAAAATATATACTGCCTTGTCTATACTGCATAGTGTAGTGCCATGTTATACATATCAAAGATCTTGTTCTTAGTCTTTCAGTTCTTCAGAACAATTATGTAGATGAAGCAAACTCCTGTTTCAATAGAGAAAGTGTCTGTAAGCAAGGTCATCCTTGTCATACCCTAGAAAGAGGAGAGAGGAAACTGAAATATCCTGGGGAGAGTTTAACTCCTGCTTATGAGGGATGCTGCCTGTCACTGAGGAGGCTGAACATGGAAAACCACAAGGGAAATCTGTATCCAAAGGAGGCTGAGTGAAAGGTTAGGATTCTTTGTTTTGTCTTCTTGTAGGCTTGAGAGGTCTGGGGAGCCTGGGCTTTGTGGGGAGCTGAACTGCCATTCCAGAGGGAAGGAGACAATGCTCTATTTCCAGAAAGAACAGAAATGTCACTTCTGAATCTCTGTGGTCTGTGTCAGGGAGAAAAACTCTTGGACAATGACCACCCTGAAAAGAATTACTGTCACCAGGAAAACACCCTGATACTTGTATTTCCACATAAACATTTTTGTGTTTGTTTCCTTTCCTTTTGTTCAGGCTTCAAAGTAATTTTAGAAATTATTGTAGAGAACAGTTAGGTCTGTTCTATATCAGAACTTTTCTGTTTAGCAACCCTCATCAGCGTTTTAAAGCATGCTGGCATGAGATGCTGGGAATTTTCCTTATGGGTTACTCTTAGTATTTAGGTCAATTGCAGCCTTATACTGAATGTTTAATTATCTTTTTTCACCATTCAAATTATGATGAAGACCTACGAACAGGTTAAAGACCTTTTGTACTGTTACAGTCCAGGTAACTGATTCTTCCACACAGTTTTGGAACAGCGGAAATATAAAAAAGAAGAAACTGACACAAAAAAGAAGAAGAAAAAAAAGTTTATTTTAGTCTCACTTCATCATTCTAAAATTCTTTTCTCCATTTCCTAATCTGTAGTTTGCTCTTACAAATCCACAGGAAGGAGCTTATATTTTTGTTTGGTATTACAAAGGTGTTTATCTCATTCTTGCAGCTAAAAAGCCTACTAAACATCAATAGCATGGACAGAATTTGACTAAAGGAACTTTGCAACAGTGAGGATAATAGGCAAGAAGTGTTAAAAGTTGGTAGGACTCAGCTTTTGATTTCATGGCAGGAAATACTTAGCAGTTCAAGGTAAGCATGGAGATGGTAAGATTTTTTTAATGTTCTCAATGTTTTATAGACACCATCTAGTAGTTTATGAGAGCCACAGAATAACTATTAGTTTCAGCTCCCGTATTGTAAATGCAAGTGAATCCACTCAGAACTTGCTTCAATGAGAGTAAGTCTGATTAGAGTATTTCAGATTGCCATCACTTTGTAGAGGCAGGTAAGTACAACACGATAAAGAAGTGACTAGAAATTGGAGTAAGAAATTTGTCTTAAGACCTCAAGGAGCTTTATCACCATTCAGTTCCAAACTGCAGCCCAAACACAACCCAATTTTCATTTATTATTGCTTAAGGAGATATCATTTCATTAACCCACAGCATTCTCCGCTGGGCCCTGTAGATACCTGTCTAGGTTATTAGTATACTCATAACCATGTTATATGCTGCTGTAAGAGATTGGGTCTGTGCCCATATAAAACTAATACTATCTTAATATATTAAGCAGGAACTTTCTACAATGGAAACCACAGTTTAAAGAGGAAGCTACTGTTACACTTGTGTTTACAGGACCTTGAAAACAGTCTGGGGATATCGGACATCTAGAAGTTTACTGAATCACAAACTGAACATGATGTAACAAACTCATCCTGTTGTAAAAAAAAAGGCTTACACCATTCTGAACTGTATAAGCTAGAAAAGTAATTTATTAATCAGTACTTGGCTTTGGCAAGGCTTCAGCTAGACAGAAAGAGTGAGCAAGCTGGGGTTTCTTATGTGAAAGAAAAGTGGGAGCAGAGGCGTAACTGTTTAAAAATATAAGATTGTTACGAAACTTAAGGGAATAAACTGGTTTCCTTGTCCATTTCCAACAGGAAAAGAAGTGATAAGTTTATACCATGGTATGGGTAAGTCAGTTTAGACTAGGGAACACCTTTTAACAGTAGCATGAAGCACTGGAATAGAGCATTTGAGGGCATGTTAGGAATTTGACACTGGAAGTCTTTAAGAACAGGTTAAACAAACATGTGTCGGGAGTAACATAAATACAGCTGATCCTACTGACAGTAAAGGGAACTAACTGATTCCTGCTCTGTGTTTGTTGGAATCTCTGCAAAAAAAAACCCCTGAATTTCTTTGCTAAGACTTCCTGAAGGTTTTCTTTTACAGCTATGAGGATCATCTGTATTTTGAATGAGGCAATTGGAATCCCTATTTGTTTCAACTTCACAAAAGGCAGCCGGAACCCCATATATGGTAGTGTATCTCCAAATCTGTTCAAGAATAGGTATCATATTATCTCTGTGTTTGGTACCTATTTTTGCATTGGAACTCTAAGGTAAGGGAACGTAGAAGTAATACATCAAGACACATAGGATATGGGGGAATGGATGGCTTTTCAATTCCAAAAGAAAACTCCTGCCTGGCATGCTGTGATACAATGGAGAATTTGTTTTATTTACCAGATGAATAGACAACATGAGTAATGAGCTGTTAATCAGTAAAACAGGAAAAAATAGCAAAAGAAGAAGTTCTTTCAAAGCGTTTACTGACTTAGCAGTCTAACAGTCTTATCTCCCTTCCTCAGCTGTGTTTTCTGAGTCAGCAGTAGTTAAATTTTCCAGCAAGCCCTACATGAAAGAAAGTGTAAAGGGTGATTAGGGATTTCCACTAAGTGACCTCACCTTTGAGTGGGACAGTCAACACGTTTGCACTGACATTCTTTCTACAAAGCAGTGCAGTGACAGCTGAAGTCGCTTTCAAGAAGTCACCTCAAAGGTGATCTGACAGTATCAATACCTTAGCTTTTCTTAGCAGAGGAGACAAATCACCTTGAATTTCTTAATTTTCTGAGTTGGTGACAATGGCAACTTATTTTGGAGCTACCTCTGCAGTGTTTTTCGTCTGGGTTACAACATTCATGGCTCAAAATTACTTCATAACAGGTACGTAAATTTCCACTTTTTTAAGTCTCCTAGTTGAACAGTAAAGTACGTGGAAAAAAAGCTAGATTTGCAAACAAAAATGGGGGGGAAGAGTGTGTGTGAATGTGTTTCTGGCACAGGAAACCACAGGGTTTTGTGAATAAAGTGCAATGAAAACTAGGGGAACTTTCATTGTTAGTGTAATTTAATTACTGTCTAAATGCTGTAGCATTATGGTATAAATGCTACAGAACCACTTGTTTTAAAGATCTGGTATTGCATTTAGGATTAAGTTCAGATCTATTGAAATGTGATTTTATTTTATATTTAAACTACAAGAGCAAACAGTTTTGTACAATTCTCAAAGAGCAAAACATGCATGAAACTATGCGTGTCTCTGCTAAAATGCCATCTTTAAAGTAAAGTGTTTTTCTCCAGTTTGGTAACATCCTGACACTGTCTTGATTTGCAAGATTGAAGGAAACATATGGAGGGATCTTGTTCATCTCCAGGCCAGTCTTGCCTGTCTCTGGTTAATACAGTACAAAAGTTCCTATTTTGTCTAAACTATCTGTTTGAAAACATAGGGAATTGCCAACACCAACTTTATCACACAGTTCTTAGACAACCCTCAAATATTACTATATGAACCTTTTTTGTTTTCCATTCAATCAAGGTCATATAGTACTCCTTTCTTCTATATGTTAGTAAAATTCAAATGTCTTCTTCAGACTCCACACTTGACGCAATCTGTTCTAACTGCAGAGGCTACTAGGATATCTTCAGATAACTCAATGTACATCAGATGTTTCCAGATGTTTCACTGTAATTTGCGAGGAGTAAATGCTTGTTCTACCTGTGTAAAAGGGCATACACTATTGTTGCAGACAATTTATTTTCTGATCTGCTAAAAGGCTTCTCATGGAAACCTGGACTGAGTGAATTAGATGCTCAGCTCAAGTCCTGTTGAAATTGTTTGTAGCCTTATCTCCAGGATGGACTTTCTGGATGACCCCTGCATCTGATTCATTGTCTTGCTCTCTCTGGGGCTGCCAGTGAAACCTGCCACCACTGTTCAGGTACTGTGGGACTGTGCCCAGTCCCAGTGAGAGCACTGTTCCTGCTTGTGCTGTGGTTGCCTTCACCTCCTGACTCCTCTTTCCTTGTGGAACAGCCTCATTCTTGCTGCTCGCTGACATCAGAAGCCAAAGGAAAGTCTCAAATAAATGAGAGTGAGGGCCTGGTGCAAGACAAAGTGATAGAAACAACAGCTTCCCCCAAAAAGCAAGAGAACTAATGCACAATAGAGCCAATACCCAGAGCTTACAAAAATCACTTTTCTTCCTGTCCTATGACAACTTTGTCGTCTTGTGAGATTCTTCTGTCTAGGTCTTCCCACCTTTCTCAATAAAACTTATTTTTCACACAAGATCAAAATACTGAGGAGAATGTCCTGTTATTTGTAGATTAACTACAAGGAGCAAAGCTTAAAATATAGCTGTGTGCAGCTTGTGTGCCAAAAAGGATAATATGCTTCTCAAGAGTTAGTCTGTCTCTCATACAAACTCAGCCATCTTTAGAACAGAGTTCAGAGCTGATTTAAGAAGAAATAAAAAGACTTGAAGAGGCTGTTGTTCTTTCTGGACTTCTTTTTCGCACTGTAAAACCACCTAGAATTTAGATTGAAACTGGTAACTTTTCCAAAATATTTATTTTACTTCACTGTTTTGTTTTAAAAAGGCTTAGCAAATTCCAAGGTCAGTTTTGGTCCATGTCCTACAGTTTCTTATCACTTAAGATTTAATTTTTTGGTACTAAAGTTTTATATTATGCTATGCAATAATGCAATTAGTATGTATCATGCAATACTCATGTAAAAATACTTGTATATGTTCGAATGACTAAAGATTGCAGCAGTTTACAAGTATCTAGGGAGCTTTCTTAGATTTCAGGAAATTCCATTCATTCAGCTGCTCAGCTTTATTTGAAATTGGTAAAGTTGGTCATTCCGTTCTCAACATTACATTTTTTAATAGCTGTATTGGCTCAAATCTGAAGATAGGAAAATAACTGGCTAAGTAAGAGATAAGAGGGAAGTCTGAGCATGAAAAGTAGTAATTAAGCATAAACCCTAGAGGAGGAAAGGAGTCTTGGAAACTAAGAGGAATTGTGGGATGTGCCTCAGCACTTAAGACAGGGAGTTATTCAGGAAAACGGAAATGATTCTCGTGAGGACTGGGAGAGTTGACTTAGCAAAAAGGAATCAAGAAAACTTAACAGTGGAACACCTAGAATAAAACAGTCTATTTCAGCTGGAAGGCACCTGCCATGATCATCTAGTCCAACTGCTCAACCAATTCAGGGCTGAACAAGTTACAGCATGTTAAGGGCATTGTCCAAAAAGCCTTTTAAACACTGACAGGCTTGGGGCATTGACCATCTCTTTATGAAGCCTGCTCCAGTGTTTGACTTCACTGCACAAGACTAGTTTGGCCACAATGAAGAGATGCAAGAGGACATTCATGAAGACAGGCAGACTGGAAGAAAGAAATTTGACAGCATGAGGATGATTCACAATGGGACTATCTGGGTAGACGTAAGGCCCTTGATACCTAAAGACGCATCTTTATTGTGCAACGTGGCTTCTCTGCATCCTCCTGCAATATGTTTGGGCTTGTCTTATGCTCAAGTCAGGGCTGGATGCGGGCATGATTTGGCTATGGAGAGCGTTCAAGTGTTCAGTGGCTTACCTGCCATGTGACGACCTACACCGTACCTAGAAGTGTTAATGGGAGGCCACAGCCTTCATCGCTGCTGACATAAATCCACCTAATAATTCAATGATTGCTCTTCCAAAAATTTAAGTCATTTCATCCTGCCTTGAGAGTTTGTGGATTGCCTGTATTCTGATGCATAGAGTTTTATGAGTTATTCATTAGTGTATACACCTGGTGTGGACTCAGCCTGAAAAGCATATTGACCAAGGAGGTAACACCTGTGGCTGTTGGTTATCTGAAATGTTTGCAATTAAATGTTGAAATGTTTCATTTAATATGGCAATTACTGTATGTAGCTCCAAAAAAACCCACCAAAACTGTTTTCTAGTATATGCTCCTGGTGAAATATGGAGACAAAAGAGTAATGTCCTTCCTCCTTGCGTCTGTCAAATCCTCAATTATATGCTGTGTCCTTAACACAGACTAAAGAAGCAGGTGTAATCAGACCTAAGGTCTGCATTTCCTGGTGCACATGTCAGGAACAGTGTGCGCATTTTGGCTATCTAAAAAAGCTGGATGAACTGCCTATGGAGGAAAAAACGGGAAAACAGTCATAAATTCACCTGGCCTACCCCCTCTTTTCCTGCTGCCAGCCAAGCATTCAGTAAATTAAACACTTTACAGTGACTGAAGGGTGGAAGCATCATGCCAGCTAGGAAGAAAAAACAAGTTTAGGAACCATAAGGAACATAATGAATGACAAATCTTCATAGGTGTATCTTCTTATTGGTATATTAATTCCATGAAAAATTATATTGAATATCTTTGATAGAACTCATAGTGGCAGGAATGGTGTACTGACAGAATCAGTGCTGCAGTGCAACTGTTAGTTTCACCTTTTTAATTAAAAAAAAAAAAAAGGAAAAAAACCCTTGTATGATTGCTCTTTCCATTTTGCATGAATATGTATGACAAGTAAGAGTGCCTTTATTAAGAAACTGACTCCAGGTAATGTCTCAAATGCCAACTGTTTGTGCCTTTAGTCTAGTAACAGCCAAACCTCTTTAGATTATTGTGTTAAGAAAATATGTTCTAAGGTATGTCTTCTTTGCTAGAAATTTGTTTTCTACTATCTTCAAGCTAGAAACTTTTAACAGTGTTAAATTCAGTTTAATGTGATCTTCAATTCTTCAGGAGGAATAAATGTTAATATTCAGAAACTAACCTTGAATATTTATGTCTGAATTACAGGTTCCATTCTTCCACCTTGCAGGATCAGAGGTGTAGGAATTTATCTTGAGGAAAAAGTGAATTTCTCAGAAGCAAGTAATGCATGTAATCAATTGAATCTACAATTGGCAAGTAAAGACCAAGTTGAAGAGGCTCTGAAACATGGCTTCGAAACGTGCAGGTATATGACATCTGTTAATGTCTTGTTACCTTTAGTGAACACCTACACACATCTGAGGTTGGCGATAAATCTAATATTTAAAGGACTGATCTTTTCATTGTAGCTATGGATGGGTAAAAGATGGATTGGTTGTCATTCCTCGAATAACATCCAACAAGAAATGTGGCAAGGGCAAGGTTGGACTAGTGCCATGGTATGCTGAACCCTTCAAAACATTTATGGTTTACTGCTTCAATTCCTCAGGTATGTAAGCACGATAACTACATTTTCTGTGTGTTGGTTTGGGTTTTATTATTTTTTAGTATCTGCATGAAAAAAATCATAACGAGTTCTTGTAATTTGTTGGCCCTTCCCCCCGATCTTAAATGTTGTCAAGCTGCACTTAGCTCTGTAGCTTTCAAGAAATACAAAATAGTCACTTCAGTTAATCCAAATTAATAATTTGGTGCTGCCATGAAAGCTCTTGAAGAAGAGTTGCTTTTACCATTCTGTAACATCAAGACAATGCCCTTGATACATTCTGATTATTTAGGCACATTAATTTGAATGACAGTAAATCAAATCTTTATCCAGGTTGTCTGTGTGTGGTCTGTGTTTTCTTGCAAAATGACCACAATGGAGTATTTCAGGAAAAGCTGAATGTTTTACGATTAAAGGAAATTTATTCATTAAACTAAATTAAAATATGAGGTAGAACAGCCAAGAGACCATACAACTAGATTCCCAATCTATTGTCAGTATACTCAAACAGCTTCCTTTAATATGCATCATCCCACGTGTGAAAGGACCTGTCCTTCCTGCTAGTTCTTGCCTGTCTATTCCCTGATAGAAGACACAACAATGGAACTTGGGCCTTGATATAAGTTAGATCATCTCAGCACAATAGATCAGTATTTTGCTTAATGACTCGTGTGGTATTAACTAAAACGAAGTATTTAACTAGAGGCATTGGGTTCCTGCTGGTGTCCCATATCTATGGTTATTACGTAACAACTATCCCAGTAATTAGACCATATATACGGGTTCAGGCAATTATTTCTTATCAGTCCCTAGACCTTGCCAATGACTTTTAGATAACAGGAACAAGAGATTATGTACAAAATCCGGACATTTTTCAGGAAAGATAGGTGAACAAGAGTTGGAAAGAGTGGAAAAAGGTAGATATGCAAGATACTCCCCTGAAATGATATAAAGATCTAAGTGTCTAGTGGCTGTGAACATTGGAGCTTACGAGACTGAGGATAAAGCTCTTAAGGAAAAGGCCATGCCTTCCCCAGTGAGACTTTTTTCATGATCCTGGGCCGTTTTAGTGAATGAAGGTAGGTAATACACGTAGTTGGCTTATGAAGTGTCTGACTGCTGGTAAGAAAGCACTACAGAGAGAAAGCACCATTAAATACTGACTTACCACTTGACCTGTGAAGTTAAAAATGACATGATTGGGCCAACTTAGTTTTTCTCTGTAGAAAGTCCATAGCTTCTATTGACAAATGCATAGGTGAATTAGTACTATGGCAACATTCTCTAAAAGAAGCTGCTCCTATTGTTACTGTTATTTTTTCTGTTTCTATGCAACATGGTGTTTCAGTGTATGAAATACGTGTCATTCTGCATCAGAAATGCCGGGTAGGTTGGCTAATGCTAAGGAGGTAGGAAGTAATTCCAAATTATTTGCTTTGTTTACTATTACAGTATGTGAAGAAAGTTAAGCTTATTGAATGGTTAGAAAATAATGTATATTTAACATCAGGTTGATTCTGCGCTTTATCTTACTTGCCTAACTGGTGCCTATTCTAGGTGTTTCTTACCAAAAAATATTTGGCAGAAGCTTTTTCTGTCAATTTTTCTTCATGCCAAAATCACTTGAAAACTGTAGTGGAAAAAGTAAAAAGCCATTTAGTTTTTTATTCTGTGAATGTAACTGCGTCATCAGGCTTCCCATGGGCATTCACATGGAGAACAATACCTACGTCATTTCCCTGTTATTTATGTTGTAATCTGCTTGTTACCTTAGTGAAATTTTTATAGCTTTACAGAATATAGAAAACTTCACTAGAAAAGTAAAGTTCACATTTTCACATGAGCCTGATTCAGAACTCATCTTTTTCATTTACATATAGAAGTCCACTTGCACCCATATTTTTACAGAGACAACATCCGCATCAGTTAAATGACTTAATTTCAGAGTGTGCCTGAAGTTTGTTTCTTTCTAGCCCCTATTAGAATTGTGTCACTTTTTTCTCTCATGCTAGTACCTGGTTTACCTGAAAGTTTTATGGGCTACTTTTGTTTCCATTAAATTGAAGTAGTTTTCCAAGTATCAACAGTGCACTCATATATTTTGAACATACATATAATACAATAGAAATATTTTTTAATCTTGGATCTGCAGTTAAGGCTCCTGCTCTGCAGGAGATCATCCTGTTGTTTTTTATATGTGTTATTATTCTAAGTACTTCTTTAGGGAATCTTGTTCTTGGTATGCATTTATAAAATGAACATTGCGCTTGCTCAAGAAGGCGTTTAACTATATGTGAGTAATTATAAAATGTGGGTAAGCTGGGTTGTAGCCACAGTTTGAAATAGGCATGCCTGATTTGGGTAAGGCTTTTGTGAATAAACAAATAATAATTTCCAGAAGGGAATGACTGAGGAAGAGTTTCAATAAACGTGTGTACGGTAAGTACAAAACTAACATCCAACAGAACTCCTACATATTTCTTTTTCCTGCTGCAGATGTTCAGATAAATTCATGTACACCAGATCCAACTACAACCATGCTACCTTCATCAAGTGCACCAATGGATTTAACTGTGTCTTCAGGCTCTGATTTGACTGAGAACATCACAGCAGTGCCCAATGTGACTGAGACAGAACAAACCCTGAAAAATATAAAATTTCGTGTAATATGTATAACTGAAACTATACTACCAACCGAGAGGACTACTACAAAAATGCCAGAGGAATACTCACCAATTGACTCTCCTAACTATACTTCCCATGCCGCCTTTAAGAATGATGCTGTTGTCTTTGGAGGTAAAGGCTATTTATGGTAGCTATTTAATCAGAAGGGCTACTTATGTAGTTGTTAGTAGCAAAACTGTTTAATGTTATTTTTGTTTGCTACTCCAGCATCCACAGAATATGAGTCTTAGGGTTTTTGCAAAAGCAAAGCTTATAAGACAGAGGATCTTTAAATAATTTTAAAGTAGAAGTAAGATCTTATACTTTTTGTTAATATTTTAATATGAAATGATGGAAGCTCATTCTGGTTAATGGGATTCGGGATGAATACGTTTCTGAGAAATGTATTAGCAAACACCATGTGCTCAGAGTAATGGAAAACTCAGCAGGCTCTTAAAAAACAGAAGAAGCCAAGAAAGTTTTAAGAACTGTTATTCTCCAAATATGGAGGTGTTCTTGAGATATGAGGTGAGAATAAGTAATTCTAATATACAACCACTGAAAAATGGGCAAAATATGAGAAAAACTATTCTAACTGTAAAGATGTGTTTTCTGGGCAAGTTGTAAAAACCCTCCAGTGAGCAGGTTAGACAAACATCTGTCAGGGATTACCCAAATACCTGATTTTAGTCTTTTGAAAAAAATCAGCTGGAGTATAACTAACCTTGTAAGATTCCTAATGCCTGTCTTCTTGAGTTGATGTTTATGTACTTCTTACTCTAGGCTGTTTTTAGAAGAATCTGGATTTGTGCTCATTAGCCTTCAGAAAGTCAGAATTAAGTACATATAAAAACTCTGTGCCTATCCCACTTTTGTCTCTAGGTATCCCTACTGCACTTCTTGTACTGGCAGTCATCTTCTTCATTATTTCAGTTGTACTAGCAGTCTGCTATATCAAAAAGTAAGTCTTTTTCTTTTTTTCTTTTCTTTTTTTTTTTCTCTTGGACTGCATTAACTCCTAGCATACAACCAGTGAATATTTTAAATATACAGCTAAAGAGCAGAGAATTAATGATAATGACATAACAGTGTAGCACAAAGAACAAAATCTTAAACCCCTTGTTATGCAGATAAAGTTTATTGTTGCTGTTGACTTTCCCTGCCTTAGAAAATGAACCAAAGACAAATATTGCCTATTTTTGATTAGTCTATCATACCCAGTGTGAAACATTTCCAAGTGTGCCAAATAGCAACACTGAAGTGTCTGTCTGTTTGTATACAAGTCTGTTCATGCAGTTTTCTTTTTGTTTCTTTCTATGTCAGACTCAAGGTGAAAGTTTTTATTCTTGGACTATGACTGTGTTCAGAAAAAAAAAATGGTTGAGCTCATTTGTCATATGTAAAGATTTTCAAGACAGTGCATCTTAAATTGTATCTGAAAGCTGTGTGCATTTCTCACATTCTAGCCAGGTAGCTCTATTGTTACGTACCATGAATCCTGAATTACATTGTCTGGTTTTTTAAACAATACAAAAATATTGCTTTAAAAAGCACACTGCTTGAAAAAGCACAATGATCTAGCATGCCACTATTCTCTGTGAGACTTTTGCTTCAGTAAGGCAAAGAAAGTTAATTCTAGATATTTTTCACTTTATTTCTTGAGTGATATTATCAAACAATGTCAGTGTTTCTGCTTTCCTATCCTTTTTTTCTATTCAAAGGTACAAGAAAACCTTCCCATTTTCAAACAAGAATCAGCAAAAAGAAATGGTTGAAACAACTGCTCTTAAAGAGGCCAAACCAAATGACAAAGCCGCTGAGAAGGAAACGAAGAATAACGGTAAAAACATAGAAGAGTCTAAAACCAAGCCTGAGGCCACAGTACAATGTCTAGAAGCAGAAGTTTAAGTGGAAGAATGTACACTGCTTGACAGAAATATAAAACGGAGTGCACTGAACTTCACAATGTTTTTCAACGTGGGTGATTATAAATACTCATGAATATTTTCTCTATCTTAACATATGAAAACCTGGGGCTTTTTTTTATGATTACATCTTTAGCTGTAGATACTGTTGCAGAAGAACATGGAATATTATTTACTTGAAATAAAAAATCCATGATGCATCTCATTTTCATCTTTAATAAGGAAGTTATTAGGAATATGATATTAATGATATGCAATGTGTTAACTATTTGCACAGAATTCAGTTCAATATGTAATGAAATGAGGGTTTTTTTATCTGGCTGGAGGATCTCTGCGAACGTAATGTCAATTAGCTTATTTCCATTAAGTAGTTGCATACCTTTTTTAAAAAGTCTGTTTACAAACAGAAGTCTGTTTACAAGTGAGTAAAACCATCAAACAATCCACCCACTGTCATGCAAATACCCAAGGGTACAAAGATGCCAATGTTTATATACATACAGCAATGAATAACTTTCTTAGATATCTTCATCATATCATAATTTACTGTTTTATTTATTAAAACCTGTATCATTCTTCTGCATCAGATATTTGTTGGGGGTGAAACTTTAACTGTATCTCAGCAGTTATATTTAAGATCTTTTATGTAGATTTAAGTGTGGCTTTCATAGTAAAGATCTCCAGTGGCATGGGACGTTTACAGTACTTCATAAAAAAATAAAGTAAGGTAGATATGTTTGTCTGGAAAGTTTATTCTCATTAAAACTGTCTCACAGTAAAAAGAGCTTAGATAACCTTAATGTTACAGAAATAATTAGTCATTAAAGAAGAACAATACTAGCAATTTATCAAATATTTTCTTGAATAAATGGTTTGTTTAATTTATATTTATACGTGAAGGAGGTTATTACAGGAAAGAAAGTTTCTTTTTAGATCCAGCAGCCTGAAAAACATAGTCTTAAATAAAACAGTAAGAGAACTGCTCACCTATATTGTGTTTTCTGTAGTGTAGGATACTGGGTTATGATCTATTTTTTATTCAAAGAAATTTAAAAGTTGCCCTGTGGTTTTATATTCCACTAGATACTAGGTTGTGAGTTATATTGTATTGCTAATAGCTCATAAATAGCTCATAAATATGGCTCCAAAAGTCTGGCCTCTGTTGATACACAGTCTACCACTGCCATTAAAGCCATAATACTACAGAAAGACTGAGTCGGTACAGCTCTAAGAAATGCT